AGAAGAATGGCTCGAAACAGCACAGCCACAGTGAGAATTTTTGTGTATTATATTTATTGCATTCATTAATATGTTAATGTATGACAGTTGCTCCTTTTTCTTCTTTGCTTCTCCTGCTACATAACAACTTCCTACCTCTTTTGTATGCTTTTAGTGTCTCTCCAATGCATTCTAAGAAATTCAGAGCTGGCAGCTTTATATTACCCACTTAACACCGCCCAAACTCAAATATTAATGCCAAAATGCAATGTGTTTTTCCTAAGTATTTCCTACCAAAAAAGCCACTATTTCAGCAGCATGGCAGTGTATTATGTTGAGGAATATGAGACACTGTCTAGAAATTATAATGTATCAGGAATGTAAGTGGCACAGAGTAAGTGGGAGATTTTCATCTTGAAAGTCCTGAGTTATTTCAAAGCTGTTTATTTTGATTGAACTTGATTGTTGACTGTGAATGAGCAAGAGAGTTTTGAGCTCAAAAGCTACTAGCTGTTGTTTTGCATAATTTGGCAGAGCGTACTTCTGCAAGTCAGGCACATGGGTAGGTGGTAGCTTTCTGATTAATAAATCAGGCATACACTTACAGACTCCCCTAGCTACTCATAGGAGAGTGCACTTTTTGCTTCTGGATCATCTTCTCTGGCAGAAGAATTGTTTTCCAAGGTGCAGATGCAAAAAAGTGCATGTATCAGGCTACTCAGTAGCTGTCTAATTTATACTGGATATTTCAATAATATTGAAATAGCTTTATAATAATACCACTGGTAGAGTGGGACAAAACAAAGAAGGTCACATCTGTGAATATTGAGGACTATTTCTTTACATTAGCCGTTGTCCTGAAAAGAGGAAGCATAAGGAGGGACTTGTGACACTTGAACAGCCTTGAATTTAAGACCATCTCTCAATAACTCTGTCTTCTCTGTCTCAATGAACTGCTTTTCATTATTTGCAGAGGTACACCATATTATTTTCATTATAACTTGTGAAAGGTTGTTCCTCCAGTATAAAACATTGCTCTTCTAAGTAGCTGTTTCATTGTCACGTTGGTGTTATGCACATAAGGTGTTATGCAGAAAGGGAATTGTTTTTATGATCTGGTTGTCCCTGAAAAGCCTTCCACAGCTGGAGGGCGAGCTAACTTGGTGGCTTAGTGAGTGGACAGTTACTGTGCAAATGTTTGATGGATGGCAAGACAGACCTACTGTTCTGTTCCTTGCATTAAAAATATGGAAGTTGTTAAAGTCGTCAGCATTGGAAATGTCTAGGTGCTGTGTCTTAATTTCAGAGAATCTTCAGCTATAAACAAATGAGTGTCAGGTAAGGGATGTCTGTTCCTATATGCTGAAACCTGATTTAAGGTTTAGGTGGAATACAATGTATGCTTGACAGGTGTTATCCTTCAGACTGTTACTGTTTCAACTTTTCAAACCTGAATCTTGTAACCTGAACATAGATCCTGACTTACATTGTGAAGAAACTAACCTTTGAAACCAAAGATTCATAAGTAACTTTGTTTATTGGAAATACATAATAAAGGGCCACACAGTATTTGTATTGCACATAATTGTTAAGGAAAGTACCTCTTTAGTACTTAAAATCCTGTGTTCTTCTGAAATGTGATAATTTCTTTTTGGGAGGATTTTGAACTGAATTCTCCTTTCAACTCTGACTGTTTTCTTGGTGATAAAAAAAGCTACCCTAGAAAGAGGCTGTTGTTTCCTAATAGGTTTGGGAAATCGGTATTTCAATCCAGCATCCTCTTTCAAAGATATATGTTGATTTCCCAAGAAATGTACATTACAAAGCTTTATGCTATCCTTTGACAGTACTCCTTTTTGATTCTGCATTGAAAGGGAGTCTTTAACATTCAGGAACGGTTAACCTAACACAAAGAGCAGATGCTTTTGGGATTCCCTCTCTGAATTATTATCTGATCCAAGTACCAAAACCCCCTATTACCTATTTTTTTTCATGTATATAAAAAGTGCTCCTGCCCTGTGGGAACTGAATGTATGGCTTAGAGATTAGAGCACTGGGTAAATATGAAAATTATATATGCATTAATAATTGAAAAGACGATAGAAAGAAGAAAAAGCAACAACTATAAACTTGTTCACAAAGTTTTAGAACTTGTGATTCTCCAGAATAAATGGACTTTCATTCAGGCTTAGTCACTGTTGTCCAAAAAACAGGTAAACAGACAAGTTAGTACAATGAAGTTTCCTTTCAATTTTCTGATGACTTCATTAGGAGTGTACTAGAGAGTCAGGCAAACCCAAACTAATTTTCAGGAATTCTTCTCCCTTTAGGGTCTTTGAATTGAGACTCTTAATGAGAAATGCTTGTCAATTCCCAGTCCACACCAATATTACTGATACATCAGGCTATGAGTTGTGCTGTTTCCCTGTCTTTCAGTAGCAAACCTAATTCCTGTGTTTTGGTGATAGCAGACTATTGTTCTTGTCTGATCTGTTGCAGTAAGTTTTGTAGCTCTTGCTGTGCAATATGTAAAGCCACATGTACACTGTGCTACCACTTCTGCTAACACAGTCGAGAAAGAAACTGTTTTACTTTCTTTTCCAATTCACTATTCCAAGTAAAAAAGGAAAATTCTTCAGTATAAATACTCTGCAGAAAATAAAGCTCCAAAACTGTTGAATACATTTTATTTTTCTACAACTTCTCAGTGTAATCACGGATCACATGGTGGATCATTTTGATATTGTGTTGTCACTGTAACTGTAGCCTGGGTGTTCTGTACGTTAGAAGAAAATACTCCCCCACGATTGCGCAGGGAATTTGCACTAAGTAGAAGACAGAACGCAGAAAGATTAGGAAACAGCAAAGCAAACTTTTTAGCCTGTCTTTATTAGCATGGAAGGTTGCTAATTTTTATTCTGTGTCCCACAGGTTGTATTTAGGCCCTAGTTAGCTGTGCTGTAAATGCTAAACTTTCAGTTACTTACTAACACCTGCTGTAAAAACACTACAAGAATCTTTAAGTTTGTTTTTGTTCTTGTTCTTGCTTCTTTAAGCACTTGAATAATAACTTCTGAAGTGGCAGATGAATGCTATGGAGGTTGAAAAAATTCACAGCAAAAATTACTTTAATTTCCTGATGCGGGCATACCGAAAATAGGTTTGAACATACTGATCAGATATACATATACATATACATATAGAGCTGGAGACAAACCTGCTTTGTTTGCTGGGTGGCATGGACTATGAATTCCCAGCCAAGTGACCTGAGACATCATCAGAGTGATAAAGTCATGTCTTTACTTAAAGTCTCATCATGTGTTCCTGCTAATATCTAAAACACCTACACTTTGTTTTCTGTGGCTCAGAGTTACAGCAGAATTTCAAAGTAATTTCCGTAGATTATTTCCTTAGAGGGGAAGAATGAAGACCAACTGAGCTTTTTTCACTCTTAGATTCTCTGTTATATGATTTGATAGTATTTATTCTTCTTCTGTGATAACTCTGGTAGTATAAAAATGTTATGTGAAATTAAGTATTTTAAGAAAGAGAGGAAGGTGAAGAGGGAAGGATTCCTAGCTGCCTAACTGTGGGGATAATTATAAAAATGTCAGCATTACTGGAAAGCATTAATGAAAACTTTCTGACACAAGTAGTGGAGGATCCCATGAGGAGTGGTGTGCTTCTCAGCCTTATAATAACAAACAGGTAATGCCTTGTTGAAGATGTGAGGGTTAAGGGCAGCCTTGGTTATAGTGACCATTGTGGAATTCAGTAATGGGCAAGGAGGAAACAAGGCAGCAAGACTGTAATCATGGACTTCAGGAGAGCTAACGTTAACCTCCAAAGGTCTTGAAAGAATCCTGTGGGGACAGATCCTGCAGTGAAGAGGGTTCCAAGGGAGTTGATTCATATTCAAGGCTCAATTCTCCAGGCTCAAGAATGATGCATCCTGATGAGCAAGAAATGAAGCAAAGGGGGAAGAGATCTATGTAGATGAATTAAGAACTCAAGTGTGACCAGGAAATACACAGGAGATGGAAGCAGGCTCAGGCCACTCAGAATGAATATAGAAGTTGTCAGAGTAAGTAGAAACGAGACAAGAAAGTTAAACAAAGACAAGTGCTGGATTCTGCACCTGGGATGGGGTAACTCTGGGTGTACAGGCTGGGGAATAAGAGGCTGGAAATCAGTGCCATGGAAAGAGACGTGAGGGGCCTGATCAGTGGCAAGTTGAACATGAGTCAGCAGTGCCCTGGCAGCCAGGAGGGCCAACCCTGTCCTGGAATGCATCAAACACAGCATCACCAGCCACGCAGGGGAGGGGTTGTCCTGCTCTGCTCTGCTCTGCTCTGGGGCAGCCTCACCTCGAGTGCTGGGTGCAGTTTTTGGTGCCACAATATGAAAAAGGTAAAGCTATAGGAAAGTGTCCCAAAAAGGGCTACAAAGATGGTGAAGGGCCTTGAGGGGAAGCTGTATGAGGAGCAGCTGAGGTCACTTGATCTGTTCAGCCTGGAGGAGACTGAGGTGTCGTGTCAATGTGGCCTGCGGCTTCCTCACAGGGGGAAGTGGAGGGGCAGGTACTGATCTCTTCACTCTCATGACTAGTGACAGGATTCAAGGGAATGGCATGAAACTGAGCCAAGGGAGGCTTAGATCTGATATTGGGACCAAGGCTCTTCACCCAGAGTGGTAGGGCACTGGAACAGTCTCCCTAGGGTAGTGGTCACAGCACCAAACCTGACACAATTCAAGAAGTGTTTGGACAATGCTCTCAGGCACAGGGTGTGTTTCCTGGGGTGTCCTGTGCAGGGCCAGGAGTTGGACTTCAGTGATATCTGGGAGTCCCTTTCAACTCAGCATATTCTATGATTCTGTGAATTCTAAATCTTCCCTTGTTTGTCTAGGATTTTTTTTTTCTTTTAATTTTGATGTGCTGAGCATGAAAAAGCTTAGAACTAGTAAATACTGAATGGAACTAAAACCAACCTTAAGTGATGATATGTGTGTTCTCTTAATAGAATCTGGTTCTGCAATTACGGCTTCCTGCATTGGTTTGGGAAATTCGACGACACCTCCACCTGGACAGGCAGGAAGACCAGTGCCAGGATATAATGGTAAGACTGTGCTAAAAATGTTACTAGGAAAGGACATTGCTTATATTCTTGAGTAAGTGCTCCTTAGTTTTCATATCTTGTAGCAGAAGAAAATTACGATCTTATTAAGGTATTTTCCTCCTTCCTGCTTTCTTGTGTATTGTGGAATGTGGTTGTGAATAAAGAATTCAGAGTTATCTTCAAGAAAATTGTTAGACTACTTCTGCCTTTACTTTATGGAAAGGCTGGCACATGCTTTGACACATCACTTATCTATACTTCTACGTGTACTTCTGCACTTCTACACAATTTGAGAGAGTTGCTAAGCAAACTGTCTTTCAGTACCTGTGGAGCATTTTTATTTCCAGCCAGGAAAAATGGTAGCCTATGGACTAGAATGAAAAGGAAGAGCACTCATTTTCTGGAAGGTATTTTCATGTAGGGGTGCAGCTACAGGATTAAGAATGCAGAAGTATTTTAATACCTAGGAACCCTGATTTTAACACAATTGTCAAGAATTACTTGAAATCTGAAAAAGAATTGCGTTAAAGATCAAGTGGTCGTCAGGAAAAATTCTCATATCATGGTCAGAAAGATCTAAGCTGTTATTTTCTTTTAATACATGTAAGTAGTGGTGTGCATTAAAAAACCCCTCTATATATTTTTACCAGCTCTTGGTTTCGGCATTTACAGTTATGGCATGAAGACAAACAGTAGCTTAAAAACAACATTAGAACAAAGCCATTAAGTTTCTCCACAGTCCTAATAAGTAGGAAAGAATGAAAGAATGTAATTGCAATTTTTGAAAATTACTGTGTATTGGCCACTGTCTTGCTGTCATCCACTTCTGTTTGACATTGTTTTCCTGCTGTTACTATATTATATATAGTATTTACTAGATATATTTATTAGAGGAAATCCTTATGCCAGTTAGCAGATACTGTGGTTGTAGTTTATACATGCAGCTCTTAATGGCTGGTAAAGACATGCTGCAATAAAAAGAGAAAGTTGCAAGACCTACTGTTTGTTTAAAAAACATGTAGGAATTATTTCCTATTACATATTTCTAAAAAGAGACTGATTAATTGCTGATTTTTAACAATAAAGGGAATAAAAATTATGATCTCAAGGTGCACAAATTGCATTGAAAAGTTAGTCAAGATACTGTATTAATTTCTAGGTCTGTTGCCTTAAATCAGACATTTTACTGTGCTTTTCCCCTTATCTACTTGAACCTTTGCAGATAATTTCAGTGCATTTTCAGACTGAAGCAGGTCCCACATTTTGAAGAAACAAGTCAATTCTTCAGTAATTCAGGAGTGAGCAGCATACTATCTCACTTCCCCAAAGTTTTCTACATTGAAATACGCAGCTTGCAAGGAGAAGACTAAATACTGGGATTGGTACCTTGATGTAACAGTAAACTGATTAAATTTTACTTAGTATCATAAAAATAGAAAATACTGGCAGCTACATAAGCGGGTCTTTGCAAAACTGGCCTTGTATACTTGCTTGTGTCAGTGTGCTGAGCCATTGCTTCCAGCAGGCTCTTCAGTTACTTTAAAATTACCATCATCTTCGAAGGAGTAGCTTCAGCCAGAAGTAGTAAATTACAGATGTTGGTGTTCTTTGAAGAGATAGGATATGATATTACTCATATAAGTTTTAGCAGAGTTTAAGTCAGAGGTCTGTCATCCACTTTTCCCCATTTCCTCTGGAATTTTGTAATACAGAATGTAAGATCATTTGTAGAGATTTAGATACATCTGAACATTGCTTTCATTGCTTGGGCAGGCTTCAAAAAGTATGTAATCCTTATCAGCCCAGTCTGTCAAATTTTTCCCTCCCTGTTTTTCTATGGTTTAGTTGCTTCACCTTATGTAATTTCGTTATCATAGGCCAAGCTGATCTCTGTCATTCCTTTCTTATGCCCACACCTTGAGATGGAATGGATGGTTGTATTAGCTTCATTTCCCAGATAACAGCCCAAAAGAGGCTATTTCAGATGATTTCCTCAGAAATCTCAGAATCGGGATATGATGCTTTCACTGAAGATAGTGGACCAGTGTCATCCAGGGAAAAGGCTTCATTTGGGAAGTCTGGATTCTGTCCTGTGCTATGAGCATTATCCTGCTGTGCAGCTTTGGGTGGTTCAAGAGTTACTTGATCTCTTCATGCTAGACTACAATGAACCTTGTTAGTTGAAGGGTATTTTTCTAAAACTCCTGAGAGCCTTTGAAAACCATATATACTTATTTACTACTGTTTCTCATGTGAACTGGGTTAGACTTCAGTCATCTTGGTTATTATTTCTTGCTCATTTTACCCACTTTTTTAAAATTTATATTTGTCATGTATCTTAATGGACCTTTGCCATGTGGAAGTTTAGATTTTCCAGTATGAGAGCTTCTTTTACTTTTTGGTTCTGTGTTTTTCCCTTTTGGGTCTTTGTGCTATTTCTGCTTTCAAAGTACTAGTATTGTTTAAGACTTTTTGTACTTAAGGCTGAATGTTAATAAATTGACACTCCCAAATTACTTAATTCCTTTTGTTGCTTGGTGTATAGCCATTCTAAAGTGTGACATAAGTTGATATCCATAAAGAAGGACACTTTCCTCCACCTAAAAATACACTACTAAACTTCAGTTTCCTTCCTGTATTATTTTTTCACAGTCATGATTCTGGATGAAAATAAGAAACCAGTGAAGGCAAAGACTTTGGGAAATATTGTGGTAAAGTAAGAAAAAGAAATGTCTTAGAGTTAAAAGAAACTTCCTACATGAGATGATTGTCTTTTGACTAAAGTTTATATAAAAATCAGAATAATTGAAGTAATGAGGATTGAAAAGCATGT